TTTTTTTTGTCTTTTTCCGTGTCCGGCAACGGATCGCAACCCTCAGTGTCGCCCCCGTACCGGACCGGGACCAGCAACGGGATCGCAACCCTCGGTGTTGCTCCCGCGCCTCGCTCAGCCAGTGAGCGGGAACCGGTCTGTATGTGGGATCTGAACCCTCGGCGGGAGCGCTGCCGCGCTTCCCAAGCGGCGCACTATAGCAGTGCGCCACTGGGCTGGCCCTGTGCCTTCATTTTGAAATGGAGTTTCTACCACATTGGTGGAAACAGAGCTTGGGCGGGACCTGTGGTTTTTCTTGCCTCTGTTCGACCAAAGCACTTGGGAAAAGAGCCATCGGAGAGGGAGGTCCTCTTCCGCTTAACAGCACCTTCCTCCCGTTTCCCTCCCTCCCTCATAAGGGAGCCAGGAAAGCTCCTGGCTTAGGAACGGTTTGTAGTGTCTTCAGTACAGGGCCCCAGCTGTCATCAGCATGTGCAAGACAGTTCTTACCTCCACCTCTCACCTCCCCCAGGGACCTCCTTAGCATTCCAGGAAATCCTTATGAGTATCTACTGTGAGCAACAGGTGACAGGCTGTCCCTGCGCAGCAGGGAGGTCCCGGACCCTTGACTGTAGTGGACCCTGTCTGCATGTAGGTTTTCTGTGCTAAAACGGGGGGAGTCTGTCTCCCTTGCCTCGGTAGTTAGGGTCTTTCCTTTGCTCCTCCAGGCCAAGGTGGAGATGCTGGACAACCTGCTGGACATCGAGGTGGCCTACAGTCTGCTCAGGGGTGGGTCAGATGATAGCAGCAAGGACCCCATCGATGTCAACTATGAGAAGCTTAAAACTGACATTAAGGTAACAGGGCTGGTCCTTCCTCAAGCATCTTAACCGCTCTTCCAGAGCAGTGGTCCCACACGTGAACGTGCGTCAGGATCTCCTGGAGAGCTTGTTAAAAAGACAGATCGTTGGGGCCTGAGAATTTGCCTTTCTGGCAAATTCCCAGACGTTGCTGCTGGTGGTCCTTTGAGACCTTCCAGGCATTTCATCTGTAGATAGTGCACCTTTCAAGCCAGACCTCAGCTTTGTGTAGATTACTTTGTCTATTTGACAGATGTTTGTTGGGCGTGTCTGAGACAGGCGTAATGTGCACAGCGCTGAGGATTGGAAAGAGACTGAGCTTTTGCTCCTGTCTTCCAACCTCAACAGTTGATCAGGTCACACTGCTTTTCGTTGCGAGTCTTGGCTATGTAATGTCTTTTAGCCCATTGTGTTTTAACTCATGATGCACTAGATTGTTATTCCGGAAGCCAGTTCCTTATTCTGGAGACTCCCTGTTCCCTGGCAGCGAACCCCAAATGTCCAGCTTTCTTGATATCCCAGAGCATAGAATTTTAAGACAAAAAGGAATCCTGAGATCCTCTAGCATCCCAGGTAGATGAAGAGGCAGATGCTCAGGATAGTGGAACTGCTGGCACTGGGTTTCCCCGGTAGACAGGCCTGGAACACGGACTCTGTCTCACCTGGGCATCATCTGAGGACTGTGGTGTTGGTCCAAGCATTGGCGGTGCCTGTGGATTGTTCTGTCCCCTTGTGGCTCCCCTGGAGTCTCCCTTGTTCTCATCCCAAGATGCCTTTTGTCTAGGTGGTTGACAAAGATTCTGAAGAAGCCGAAGTCATCAGGAAGTATGTTAAGAACACTCACGCGACCACACACAATGCGTATGACTTGGAAGTCGTCGACGTAAGAAGCCCTTGTCCCCCACCTCCTTTCATGTCCTTCCAGGTTACTCCTGCCCACTCCTCCAACCTGCCTGGGTAGAAAAGACCTGTTTACTTGGCTTTAAGTAACCACAGGAGGTGACTCATTTGTTTGTTGAACGAGAAAATTAATAGTATTATAGTCTGGGGGTGGCTTTTTCTTCCTCTGTTTTAAAGGACATTTCCTGTCCCCAGACCTGGTTTTAGAATCATGTACAACATACGGTGATCATCAGAAGTCTCAGGTGTGCATCTGCTGCACGTAATATGAATTGTAGTAGCTAGTCTCTGCTGGCGGGACCTTGACAAATCAGGTGACTCCATGCCAGCCTGGTGGAAAACATCTTCCGCTGCAACAGACCCTAAGTTTTCTAGCTGTAGGCACAGCTGGTCAGTTCTCCCGCATCCCGTCAGATCATTCAGTCAACTGGAGTAACGGATGGGTTTTTTTTTCTCTCCCCTTGTTTAATCCCCGGACCAGATCTTTAAGATAGAGCGGGAAGGGGAGAGCCAGCGCTACAAGCCCTTCAGGCAGCTTCATAACCGAAGGTTGCTGTGGCATGGGTCCAGGACCACCAACTTTGCTGGGATCCTGTCCCAGGGTCTCCGGATAGCTCCGCCTGAAGCGCCAGTGGTATGTGCCCAGCCTGGGGAGGAGCGGGGAGCTGGGGTGGGCAGTACCTGTCTCTGCAGGTGTCTCCATGAAGAGCTTTGTAGACCTTAGGAGAGCATGCACGTGCCCTGGGAACAAGGGGCCTTGTTTAAAGATGTGGGTGTGACTCAGTTGGGACTCAGGTGGATTTTTTGCCAGACATCCTTTCTCCAGGCCCTCGGCTAGAGCCACCAGGTGTAGTGCCTTCATGTTCATCTGACCCCAACCCTGACGGTGGTGCAGCCACACATATATCAAACAGTTTCTGGAACGAAAGCAGTAAGTGTCCAGCCAGAGTCTGCTGTACATCCTAACCAATGTGTTGGCATGCGAGGGGCAGACTGGCCATGGCCAGCCTGAGTCAGACCCGCTTCAACCACCTTCTAGCTGGTGGCCTCTCTGAGCCTCAGTCTTTTCATCTAAGAAATGTGATAATACAGAAGTAAAGCTCTACCCAGACACTGCAGATCGTTGTGTCACCTGCTGGACAGGACCGTATGGGTGGCCTTCCAAGCCTCCCGTTTTATAGTCATGAAGAGCGGAGAGGTTTAATGACTCTCACTAGCGTCCCTAGGGCCTTGCAGCAGTGTGACCTAACCTCTCTGAGCCTTGTGTTTCTTTTGCAACGCTTACCAACTCGTTGGATCTTCTCCGCAGCCGCATGAGGTGGTTTTCCCATGAGGTTGAGAGAAGAGGAAAGTCAGGTTCAGCGAGGTTAAGTCCTTTCTTGTAGCCCCAGGTAGCTGGCAGCACTGGGGTCTGAACAGCTTGGCCTGGCTTGTGAGCTCAAGCCTCCACCCCGTCACCAGGAACATCAGGAAGATCAAGAGGGGACGATCACAGCTCTTAGCTCCCCCCCAGCCTGAGTCGGTCCCCTGAGTAACTGCTCCGAACTTCCCATTAGAAGATTTCCTTTTTTTTTTTTTTAAGACTAGTCAAGTGCAGTAGTGAGAAGGGGCAGAGGAGATCAAGGAGTTTGATCTGTAACCGACTGAACAGTCAGTCGCGATAACTCACTGCCTGCGAACCGGCCCCCTGGAAGGTTTTCACCTGTCCCTTTCCCACCCTCCAGACGGGCTACATGTTTGGTAAAGGGATCTATTTCGCGGACATGGTCTCCAAGAGTGCCAACTACTGCCACACGTCTCAGGGAGACCCGATTGGCTTAATCCTGTTGGGAGAAGTTGCCCTTGGAAACATGTGAGTAAACCTGGTGGGGCTGGTGGCCCTGGATGGGGACGGGCGAGTGGGCTGTGGGAAGGAGCACTCCCTTTGGCTGGGAACTCTGCTTATATATAGCAGAAACCAAGTTAAGGGAACGGGGGAGGTGCAGGGATGCCTCACAAAACACGGGGATGGGAACACAGCCAAGCCTCAGGAACTGGCAGTGTCTGTTCGCTCTGTGGACTAGGAAGCAGAGAGTTGAATTGCAGGATTGGTGACAGGACGGTCACCCCATACTTCTTCCCTTCCCCTGCTGATGTTCAGATTTTCTGTTCGAGACCATTCCAGATCAAACTGGAAACGTAATCCCATTTTCAGATTCTACCCTGAGAAAATCTTACTGATCTAGATTGGAGTAGGCAACCACCCTGGTCCTATGATTAGCTGTAATTAAAAGAGCAGGGTTGGGCCAGCCTGTGGCTCACTCAGGAGAGTGTGGTGCTGATAACACCAAGGCCACGGGTTCGGATCCCATATAGGGATGGCTGGTTGGCTCACTTGGGAGAGCGTGGTGCTGACAACACCAAGTCAAGGGTTAAGATCCCCTTACCAGTCATCTTTAAAAAAAAAAAAAAGGCAGGGTCATGTAAAAGCCAGGGGTCTGGAGATTGTGGACTGAACGGAAACTTCCAGAGCAGCTGACCACAACTTGAAACAGGGCCTTTTCTTGAAAATGGCCCCATAGCAGTGATCGTTGGACACAAACTCTGTGTTCAAAAAGAGCTGCACCTTCAGGTCCTAGAGCAGTTCCAGAAACTTGGGAGGGAGCTCCAAGCAGTGAAGATGGGCTGGCTCTGTCTGACTTTGTTCTGCTAATCAAAGTGTTGGTTTCGAGAGCCCGGTGTCCTTGGAGGCTCTTCTGAAACTGTTCCCTGTTGCACAGGTATGAACTGAAGCATGCGTCACATATCAGCAAGTTACCCAAGGGCAAGCACAGTGTCAAAGGTAATTCATTTCCACAGTTGCTGCTGTGGCCCTGCGCCCCCAGCACAGCACCGAAGGTGGCTTTCTTTCCTCAAAAGGCTGTGTTCTCGTGGCTGGTTTTGAACAGCTAAAGGTTTCTTTCAAAAAACAGTTTCAGTGTCTGTGACTATACCTAGTATCACAAATGCCACAGGTAAATCTTGGGGCAGGCACCAGTAGCCAGGTGTGTCGACTTTGGGTTTTAACCTCATTTACAGCAGTGAGGGGCCTCTCAGGACCTAATGGCTCCTGGAGTATCTTGGATTGCTGGAGTTTGTCACGTATGATGATTTAGGGCTTGCAGCAGCCTGGTTGAAATGACTGCTTTGGAATTCTGTTCAGCAGAAACGCAACCCCATAGGCAGCTGCTCCTACTGTCATTAAAATCAGTTAAGGTTCATGCCCTGGAAACCTTAATTTATAACCTACATCTTATATCTGAAAAAGGGAGTTTGGGATTTATGTGTCTTTAAAATGAGCATGTAGACCCAACATAGAACAGGCCTCATCTCCCTGGAACATTTTCAGCATCTGTGCTCACAGTTCATATCACTTGCTCCTTATGTTTTGCAGGTTTGGGCAAAACTACCCCTGACCCTTCAGCTAGTATCACTCTGGATGGCGTAGAGGTTCCTCTTGGGACCGGGATTTCGTCTGGTGTTAACGACACCTGTCTTCTGTATAACGAGTATCCTTTGATGAGTAGGCTGTGTGAGCACAAAAGAATGTTCTGGAGGGCCGAGCCCGTGGCGAACTCAGGAGAGTGCGGCGCTAGGAGCACAGCAGCGCTCCCGCCGCGGGTTCGGATCCTATATAGGGATGGCCGGTGCGCTCACAGCGCTCACTGGCTGAGTGTGGTGTGGCCAGTCTCACAAAGGACCAAAAAAAAAAAAGAATGTTCTGGAGCCGTAGACTTGCTTATATGCAGTCAGATTACCAAGGGTAGACTCTGGTTAGAGAGTGTCCCGTAGTGCGTCTCAGCGTGACTGTCTCCCCTCACTGGTCTTCCCTGTACAGAGTGAGAGGTCTGACTCTCCACCTGGATAAGCCTGGATTACAGGGTGTGAGCCTTCCCCAGTTTCCAGAGGCTTCTCTCTCCATTGGTCTGCCTGAGGGGCACCAGCACAGCCGTGTGAAGCAGCAGCAGCCCCCTCAGGCTGGCACTGAGCATCCTGCCGACCCAGGGGGATGGGACATCGCACGTGTATTCGCTCTTGTGCACCTGTTGTCTCCTTGACATGCTTCCTCTCCAGGTACATTGTCTACGATATCGCTCAGGTAAATCTGAAGTATCTGCTGAAACTGAAATTCAATTTCAAGACATCCCTATGGTGAATGGTGAGATGTGGCCGAGTCGCACCCCAGTGACTGGCATGAGTTCACCTGGTGTGCTCACGCCCCGACTCACCAGGCAGAAACCTCAGCCAAGTTGCCGGTGGATACACCTTCACTGAGTCTCCTTAGAAAGGATTTTATATGAACTTGTTTTTCCCAACTTTTCAGATCCCTTGTTTTGTGTCGTGTTTGGGAGGAGGGGTGGTTTGGGGGTTTTCCCCCACCAGGCATAGCCCCGTTAGGTACAACTGATGATAGGGGGAAAGTTGGAGAGGATTTTTGTTTTGACTTGTTTTTCCCAACTTTTCAGATCCCTTGTTTTGTGTCGTGTTTGGGAGGAGGGGTGGTTCGGGGGTTTTTCCCCCACCAGGCATAGCCCCGTTAGGTACAACTGATGATAGGGGGAAAGTTGGAGAGGATTTTTGTTTTGTTTTGTTTGCATAGACTAGTCCCATGGAAAAAGCCAAGCCACGTTAGAATGTCTGCCTTACTGGTTTCCCCAAGGAAGGAAAAAATACGCTTTTACCCTTTTTTCTAAGTGTTCATTTTAGTTTTGATTTTGGAAAACTGTTAAGCATTTATTTTGAGGTAAAAATAAAAACTAATTTTATACTATTTAGGTTTTCTTTTTTATTTTGCACTTATCCCCTTTTTAGCTTTTTTGTTTGTTTAAATGTTGGCAAGGGGTATGTATAGGAGACCAAAAGGAGGAGCATTAACAGTTTCTCATACTTAGGAACAAAAAGGGTTTTCCTTTTCTAGAAATACTTTGGAACAGGGGCACTCTTGGAATATGTAGTATAGTAAGTTAAAAGTTGCATCTGAAATTTTTGACTTTCCTATGAGCAATTTTGCCTTCCAAATGAAAACCATCTATATTGCTGGTACACCTACCCAAGGGCTAATAGTAATTCTCAATTAAAATGCAAGTGGCTTCTATATTTGTGTATCGTGTGTCTGGTCTCATTCTGTCTACAGATACAGTTAATCTTCACAGTGTGCAAGGTCCACAGAGATTGTGGGCCTTGCAGGGGATTGTCTTTGCCTGTATCTCTGAAACCCCAGCATGTGCCAGGCAGCACAACAGGCCCTGCCCGGGCAGAAATGCCTGACCTGAGTGGCAGGAAACCAAGCACCAGGTACGGGAGGATGCTCTGTTTTCTTTCCTTCAGCTTATCAGATACACTGTGATGATAAAGTTCGTATCATATTCTGTTCTATGGAGGACCACTTGACATATGCCACATTGCCTTCTACAACTACCCTGTATTGGAGAATGATACTCAAATGTTTACATTTAAATTCTTTGAAAGCCAGGGGCAGTGTCATATGTCACTACTGACCTTTTGCAGGAAGGGAACAGGAAGTGTGAGCCAGAAGGTGGAGTCGCAGGCAAGAGACAGCAGCCACCAGAAGCGGCTGAGGTGGCAGGGAATCCCACCCTGGAAGGGAAGGAGGTGGACTGTAGACACCGTCCCCAGCAGAGCAGGGGAAACAGGCAAAGTGAGCTGCTGTCTCAAACCCCGCAGTTATGCCGGGTGGTTTTGGTGAGGGAAGCACAGGACAGACCTCATTCAAGACAGGAAAGAAGGAAGACACGAGTTATTCTGAGTTGAGCTGCAGTTGATGATGATAACAGCAGGTGCAGTTTATGACTAGCTGTGTCCTGTCTGTGTCCTGTCGTAGCCGTGCAGTTAACAGACTTTGAGGGCCATAGAAGCCAGAGTTAAGGTGTTAGATTGCAGAATCAGAAAGACAGCTAAATCAATCTGATGACAGTAAAGTTCTGATCTTTTTCCAGTATCCGTAAGTCTTAATGAAAAACCTTCGACTCCCAGGACCCTGAGTATTCTGTACTCTCCACCTTCTTTTATCAGCACAGAGAAAAAGACAGTCACCCTCCAGTACCTGATGAGACAAAGTATTTTTAGGCTGGAGTGATTGCTTAATGGGTTCCTTGTAATCAAAACTGATTTCTTTTTTAAGAGAGATTCCCATTTAGTTTTTTTTTTCTAAAAGAGGGAACCTATCATACTATATTTGAATATTCACATACCTTGCTCTTTTCACGTTAAAAGAAATTCCAGTCCTGTCAGGGTAGCAGCAAAAATGTGGGCCGTTAGTTTACAAATTAAAAACAAAAACCATCCTTGCACAGAAACTCAGGGCTGCATGAGCGAAGAGGTGCTCCTGTCTGCCCTGGTGAGCTGCCCTACTCCTGCCTCTGTGCCCGAAGTGCCCTTGGATGGCGGTAGCTGGCTCATATTTCAGACCACACACTGTTCCACGCAGCGGTGCCTGTGTGTGTGTGTGTGTGTGAAGGTTCTAAGAGTCACTACACACTATTCCAGCATGTTGGCCAGTGGATTTCTGCATTGGTGATTCTCTTGCTGCATCTTGGGTGTCCTTCAGCCTCCTAGAGCATTGAAGTAAAGCTGCTGTGGAGTGACTTGCCTTGAACTTCGCCTTGGGGTAACCCTCAAGCACCAGGCTTTGAGGAATGAGATCTGAATGAGATCCAGTGGTGGCCTGTCCCGGTGCATGCATAGTGTATGCGCTCTGTGTTAACCATTCACACTGAGAGCCTGGAAGGTGCATTGTCCTCTGGCCTCCAGAAACCGTTCTCACGGTTAGATCTGGAACATCAGGAATGGTTTATTTCTGACGTCTTGGGCTGGTTAATCATTACACTCAAAAGTACATCCAGGTGCTTTAGGATTTCTCATTTCCTAAAGTGGTGTCGTTTCTTTTCCCTTAAATTCTGTGTTGCAACTCCCAAAAGATGGGGAATTGCTTTTTTGAGGTATGGTGTTTCCACCACCTCTTCAGCCAGGACCTTTCAAACTGATTTGCATTTGGGGCTGATGAGGTTTAGCGAATCTGGCACAGGGAGAAGCGAGCCCCTCACCTCTGCCATTCAGTCTCCACGTGGAAGATAGACAGTGGTTCCTCTGGCACGGGTCATGTGCCCATTTTTGTGGCTTAAGAGATTGGTGTTGGATTTGTCATTGTTAACTAGTCTCTAGTTTGTAATCTAGATTAAAAGCAGATACATTTTTGAGGCTTACTTTGAAAAGTAAAGAAAATGTGGCCTGTAAACATTTTCCTCTTTGGCCAATTGGCCCTTGTGTGAGAAAGGTTGCCCACCACCAGGCTAGTGCACGGTGTTGGTAACAGGGACACCTGGGTGTCGGTCCTGTGTGCCAGGTGGACTCGGCACTCACCCACCACCATGGCATTCTGCACAGCCTAGCTTCTTATCAAGGGCCTCGTCACACAGCAAAGGGAGTGTGGCAATTAACTGGTTTTGCCACACAACCCACCCTCCAGAAGTGGCCTAATTAAAGGGTAGAATGGCTCATAATGATGCCGCTTGTGAGACAGCACCTGGGAGGGATAGGGTTTGATCTTACAGGATGCTGTAGATGCTTTAAATCAGAGCCCAATATATGCTGCTCTCTCCCCCACAGCCACAGTATGTAGGTTTGGGAACCAAAGGTTGGGCTGGGAGCAGGTCCTCTCGCTATTACCTGCTCATACCTCACTCAAGATTGTTTGGATGTCTTAGTCCCCAGGGGAGAAATGCTTCCCGCAGGTGACACAGTAATGGTTCCATTGAATTGGAAGTGAGTCTGCTCCCTGGCTGTTTGGGCTCCTGATGTCACTGAACCAGTGTGCACAGGAAGGGAGCTAACTCTACTGACTGGAGTGACTGGTCCTCATGACCATGGAGAAGTTGATTCCACACGATGGAGGCATGGAGGATTGAGTCTAGAACCCAGGGGATGCCCAGAGTGCCACTTCGGACTACCGTGTCCAACAGTAAAAGCCAGTGGAAATACACAACCCAAGACACTGCAACCCAGATTGCTGCTAGGTCTGTGGGGATCTCACCCTTCAGGAGTGACTCAGCTAAGGGATGGGTGGCAGGAGAAGTATATCACAAATATCGATTGTGGCTCCGTTACCAGAGAAGTATGTCACGATGGGCCGGCCCGTGGCTCACTCGGGAGAGTGCGGTGCTAATAACACCAAGGCCCCGGGTTCGGATCCCACATAGGGATGGCCGGTTCGCTCACTGGCTGAGCGTGGTGCTGACAACACCAAGTCAAGGGTTAAGATCCCCTTACCGGTCATCTTTTAAAAAAAAAAGAAGTATGTCACGATGATCAACTATGGCTTTGTGACCAATTATAATAATGAGGATTAAAGCAACCAATTGGGGGCCAGAGGCAGTACAGTTTTAAGCCAGGGAACAACTCGGGGCTGAGTCTAGGACTTGTGAAGATGGGTTTGAATGGCTATAAGTAGATATTAAACTTGATTTTTGGTTGTGGAGTGTGCATGTCTGTCCAGGTAGCATTTGTACCCCCAAATCCCTCACCCCTTAGCTCAGTGGATTCTGAAGTCTGAGGGATACTATTGACCACCAGAGATGGGAGAAGCAGGGGTCAGGGTCCACTGGAGAGACCCCTGTATTCCTGGGGTCATCTGAGCTAGGGCTCCTACCCTTCTCAAACTTTTAACCATGCCTCTTGTTGACTGCAGAAAGGAGATGAATCCGCCATTCTAGAGAACATGTGTGCTAAACCCTGAAAAGTACTTAGCATGGGGCCGGCCCGTGGCTCACTCGGGAGAGTGCGGTGCTGATAACACCAAGGCCCCGGGTTCGGATCCCACATAGGGATGGCCGGTTCGCTCACTGGCTGAGCGTGGTGCTGACAACTCCAAGTCAAGGGTTAAGATCCCCTTACCGGTCATCTTTTAAAAAAAAAAAAAAAAAAAAGTACTTAGCATGATTCCTGACCTATTGCAAGTGCTCAATAAATTTCAGTCACTACTGCTGAAACCCCAGAGAAAGGTTTTGCCTCAGTCTGAATCCAAACAGGAAACTCCAGGTTAAGAAAGAAACCAGAAAGCAGGACATGATCCTGTGCTTTCTTGTCCCCTGTGAAAAATCAGCATGACACTGGCCTTCCCTCTCAGTGGGGCTTCATGCTCCACATCCCTCCCTGTCATTCCCCTTGACCGTGAAGCGGCCAGCCTCTCCTCGCCAGCACTTTCCCCCTGGGCCCAGCCCCACTCCCAGGGAGGCCTGCTGGGGCTCAGAATAGCCCTGCTGCTGTCTCAGCAGATGGCCAGGCTAATTTTAGCTGTGTGGTACTCACCCAGGACCAGGCTGGGCCTGCTGGATTTGAATAAGCCAATGTGCAACTTTGGTTCAGAGCCAACAACAAAGCTTTGAGTTGTTGTGATCTCTTTGTCTGCCTAGCACTTGATAGGAATTCCAGAAATATAATTTTAAAGGATTTTGTTTCTCTGAACCAACAAGAGCCCAAGTGTGGAGCCGGCAGGGCACATGGAGGGTGGAGAGGAGCAGACAACGCCACCAGCTCTTTCCTCCTCCCCGATGGTAGACAGGCAGGTGGCAGGTCCTCAGTATCCTGGGCACACTTACCTCCCATTGCTCACCTGGTCAAAGTGAAAGAAGGTGACAGCTATCTCAGCTTCCTGGATCATCCTGTGAACCACGTGGGGGTGATAGGCTGCGTTTTGATGCTGTGGTGAGGACCGTGATCAGGAAGAAATTAACCAGATACCAACAAGAACCTCCTTTGGCACGTTCCTATGCGACCCCTCGTGACATCCCAATATGAAGAGAGCAGATGTGGAAACAGGCTCCGAGAGGTAAGAGGTCCCAACGCAGACTGGAATTGAGGAGCCAGGCTGAGAACATGTTTTTTCCAGTGGGATGTTTCTTGCTCGTGTGAACACTGCCAATTTCATACCTGTTCTCCCGGAGAGTTGAGACAGCCCAGCGTGTCTTGGAAACCTGCGCTCCGGCCTGCCTTGACCTTTCTGCAGAGTGATGACTAGTCACTGAAGGAAGCTGAGGACCAGAGGAGAGACAGCAGTAGGGAAAGGAGAGCAGTGCAGTTAT